TATGTTTGGTTCAAAGAATTTAAGAAGGAAAGGAAAAGAAAATGAGAAAGAAAACATTTTTCTTGTTTGGTTAGAGAGGAAAAGAAAAGAAAAGTGGAAGGAAAAGAAAATAAGAAGGCAAAATGTACAAAGAGGAGAGAAAATCAAATTTCTTCCATTTTAGTGAGGAAAATGAGGGAAAATCATTTTGTTTTCTTTTCCTTCCAAATTCCTTGAACCAAACATAGTGTTAAGCTTCTAGGGGTCATAACAAGTTATAGCTCATGCTATAGTATAAAACTCTTAGAAGTTGCAGTGCATTAGAAACGTCTATGTTTTCTCATAATTTTCTAATAATTGTTTAATGCTACGTGTATCACGTATGTGTTATATAAATCCTTTAATTTATATAAAGATGTATATATGATAAAATTTCTATCATAATATTTTTGAAAAAGTACTAAAATAAAAAATAAATTGTGGATACTTTTAAATTATATACAAATTGTTGTTTTTCTATTAAAAAATTTGTTTTTAATTTTTTTTAAAAAATAATACTCTCTCCGTCCCCCTGTATTTGTCCACATTTGACTTTTAGAACTGTTCATCTAAGCACTTTGACTCATCAAATTCTCTCAATGTGTAAGCCTAAATATAGTCATGTGTGATCTTGTTTGATTTGTCTTAACATATAGATTATTAATATATAATTTTTATAATTTTTTAATATACAAATTACAAGATAAAATGGATTAAAGAAGTGCATTGGATGGTGTGTAAAAATGAAAGTGGACAAATACATGGGGACGGAGGGAGTATAATTATACATATTTCAAGAATATGCTATGACAATGAAATAAACTTTTTAAAATACTTAGAAATCAAAGGTTTTATTAAAGTTTAATCTTAATAATGATTATTTGGTGTTAGAAAGTGAAGGGTTTTATAAAAATTTAATAAAAATAATAGTTATTTAATAGTTAACACATTACACATACTCTGAATTTTTACCATAAGTGTTAAGGAATTATCGAAAATGACTTTTAAAATGTATTATAAATGCACGAATTATTTATGTACAAATAAATAAAATTTTACGAGTAATTGTAATGAATTTGCTTACTCCATAAAAAAACTTGGTTTAAAAAAATAAAGTGAAATAAAAAAATTGCAAGATTAAAGTTGTCATAAAAAAAATAGTATATCATTACATGTCATGAAATTTGGCAACACATGACCTAAAAAACAAATGGAATGATATTTGGTAGAAGAAAGCTTACATGGCTACACACGACATAACACTTGGCAAAAAAATCCTACGACACATGGCACAATTACAATAAATCTGATCTACTTTATATAAAGGATTAAAATAAAAGCGAGCTGTTGCATTTAAATTAGCATTCTTTAATGACCAATTAAGGAGAATAAGACAAACGTATACATGATCAAACAAAAAAGAGATGAACATTTTATTTTAAAAAAATGACCAATCATGTAAAAATGGCTGTAACCCATGTGATATGAATTAATACTCCTTTCCTTAGCTAGGAGTATAGCATTTTAAAATGACAAGTTGCTATTGCTCATCGCCGCCTTAAATCCGGAAACCAAATTCAATGTTTGGTTTTGGGACAACAAAATGGTTTGTTTTCTTGTGTTTGGCCGGCCGGCCAAATAAGGTTCAATGAGTCAATTACAACATTCAACTAAAGTAAAAACATTCTCTGCCCTTTCTACCTTCTCAATCCTTGGCAATTTCGTCACAGTTTGACATTTTCAAAAACCGATAGTGTTTTATTAGTATTCAATTTGGAAAAATTAATATTTCCATGCCTTCGACCTAGTCACGATATAAGTATCCATTGTTGTCTGGTTGCAACTTATGAATATTAGGCTATGGTGTGTGGTGCGATGGGATGGAACGAGATGGCCACATCATGGTGATCCCATCCTTTTTTTGCCTTTTGCTACTCTTTTGTTAGGTTGTTGTCATTTTCTTTCTTTCTTTCTTCCCCTCTACTTTTTTTTTTACTTTAAATTTTTACATTCTTTACATTTTTTGTTAATTTTTTTTGGTTTTTTAGGTTAGTTAAATTTTAAAAAAATTTAAAAACAATAAAATAAATGAAATATTAACTTAATTATGTACTTTAAAGTATGCTATTATTTAATTTTAAAATGATTCCAAATGGTGAATAATTTTTTAAAATAGACTTTTAAATCTTTTATACGTAATTTTATATTTAATGTTAGACAATGTTTATTTTGTGTTTTTAGTTTAAGTAATTTTATTTAAAATAGAGGTAAAAAAGAATATAGAAAGAAAAAAAGAGAGCATTGGAAGGGGTCCACACACTTAAAAGTTTAGGTGTGGCTAAGTTTGCAAATTGCAAGAGAGAATGTAATAATCCAAACCCCATAGCCTTAAAAGAGCAAACATCATCATTCATCAAAGTACAACAACCTTTAAGGACTACTATCTCCGTCCCAGATTATTTGTCCATTTTCATTTTTACACACCATCCAATACACTTCTTTAATCTATTTTATCTTATAATTTGTATATTAAAAAATTATAGAAATTATATATTAATAATCTATATGTTAAACAAATCAAACAAGATCACACATGACTATATTTAGGCTTACACATTGAGAGAATTTGATGAGTCAAAGTGCTTAGATGAACAGTTCCAAAAGTCAAAAGTGCACAAATATAGCGGGACGGATGGAGTATTTCTTATATCCTTTAATTAAAAAATACTACGGGGTACTCCGTAACACTTACTTTTGCATTTCAAAATAGTTTGTCCAATTACTATTACAATATCTTGATAATTTATACTCCTCCCTCTTCCTCTGTGAGTGCTTGTCTGTTTTTTATTTTTTTCGTCAAATTTACAAGAGTAAATTCTATAATTGATCCTTTATAACAGGGGGTTTCCCTATTTAGTCCTCTATTATCAAATATTATCCAAGTGGTCTTTCTTTTATGGGTACCTTTCCACAAATAGTACGTCCTTTTTTTGATCTTCTATCATGTTGGTGTTATTTTGAGGGCTAAAAGTGTAATTTCACAATGATGATATATCTTTTTTGTCATACACAATTCCAAAGACTGTTCTGTTTGCGTCGTTTGTGAATTACAGTAGCTTTTTACGACAACTATAATCTACAAATGAGATCTTTCGTCAGAATCCTAGCCCACAATCATAGTCATTATTTTTGTGTTATCCGCTTAACCAAGAACACGCCACTAGACATAATGCTGACGTCAAATTATACTTTTAGCATTTAAATTAACACCAACACGGCAGAAGATCAAAAAAAGGACCATTTGTGGAAAGGTACCCTTAAAAAAAGGACTACGAGGGTAATATTTGATAATAGAGGACTAAATATGGAAACCCCCTGTTATAAAGGATCAATTATGGAATTTACTCAATTTACAAACTTTGACATTAAATTACTCCTCCGTCCCAAAATTAACTTCCAATTTGACTTTTCACGGTCTCCAATGTGACACTTTGACCATCAATATCTCAATTTTTATATAAATATATTTTATAAAAATTATATATTTCAAAACTATATTCCAAAATAAATCTATTGTTAATAAATTTATATGAAAATTCAATGTATTTTTTCCTTAATCTACGGTCAAAGTTTAAAAAGTATGACTGTAAAAGTCAAACTGAGAAATTAATTTTAGGACGGAGGGAGTAAATAAAAATGATATTAGATATTGATACTAAAATAGTTTTATTAGATTTATTATATCAATTATTTTCAAAATATATTGTTTATCTAATTAACATCCAATATATACTTTATTTAAATATAGGTCAAGGCTGAGAACAGATAATCAAAAAAAATCAAACTGGACAAATATTCAAGGATGGAAGTAATATATATTTGTATGTTTTTATTGATTAAATAAAATATTCTTTTTAAGCAAACCATTTTCACATCTATTAGTATTAGTGTAGTGTGGATAGCATTCCATCCAAAGTGGGCAAGATCAGCCACCCATGCATGGGCGGCCCCCCCATCCATTCATGCATGTTACCTTAACTTACCTGGAAGTTCCAATTCCTATATGGCCCAATATATATATCTTTCCAGCTCACATTCAATATTTCAATGCATCCAGTTATTTTCAATTTTTTAATTAATCATTATTTATATTATTAGAATCATACTACTATTGATAGATAAGTGATATTCTTCTCGTCTTGGCCTAATATATAATGTACCCATCATTAATTAACACTTAATGATTCAATCATCTCTCATTATTTGAATTCCTAATTCATTTAAGTATAACCAAATTCTTATTTATTACACCTCTATTTCTATTTTTCAAATGAAATTTACACTGAATAAGAAATAAAGTTAAAACATAAGTCATATCTCAATGTAGGACTTAAATTTTTTTATTCTCTAAACAAAACTTAATAATGTCTTCTAGGAAGAATATAATAATGTCTAGTGATGTGTGTGTGTATAGACATAGACACACATATACATGCATACATAGAGTCTAACCCCTATTTCCCTAACTCTTTGTCATCTCTCAAACAACACGCAAGATCTCATATTTTTTAAAATAATTTTATTTACAAATTGGTATAAAAACAAAAGTACAACTTACATATTTAAAATGATATCAAAAATTTTACAAGTGATGACATTCAAATTTTAATTATGGTATCAAATGATTAATAAAAATACATACACTAACAAAAATTTCGTGAAGCCTGGTGGAGTATTATTACTAGAAAAATGCTAGGGGTTGTACCCCATTTGTCCCCCACCTCCTCCTTGCCCACATAATTGGGCAAGAAAATAAAAAAAATTAAATAAATAAAAATAAAATAAAAATGAGTGGTGGAGAAAGGGATGGAGGACAAATGGAGTACACTTTTGGTGTATCCCTAGCATTGCTCTTATTACTATCATTGGGTTGACAAAATCTCCTTTTATATATTCCCTCCTAGGTTCACTCTCATTTCATTTTCTTGGGAAAACCACACCCATAATTATACATAATCATATACCCCGGAGTACTAAAAAGCTCTCTATCTCCAAATACATCTTTCAATGGCAGCTTGAGATTCTTTCATATTTCATTACAATAAAAAAAAAAAAAAGAAGATGATGAAATCCCCTCTCCCCTTCCCACTCATCCTTTCTCTTCTTCTACTACTATTCCTTCCCCTCCAAATCCCACCCTCCTCTGCACAGCTCTCCCCTTCAGAGAAAAGAATCCTCCTCCAGCTCAAGAACCTTCTACAACACCCTCAAGTCCTCCGGCAATGGGACAACGCCACGGACTTCTGCTCCCTCCGACACCCGACGAGCTCCCTCGTGGTCGCCTGCTCGGGCAACCACGTCACGGAGCTCGTCATTGTCGGAGACCACCCCGGGGGGAATAAACCCCCCTCCCTGGCGGTGTTGTCCACAGACACCCTCTTCACCGTCCTCACCAAGCTCTCCTCCCTCAGGAGGCTCTCCTTGGTGGGCCTAGGCCTGAGGGGAGGTTTGTCCGGGAAGATTTCCCGGTTTTCTGGGCTCGAGTCGCTTAACGCGAGCTCGAACCGGCTCCAGGGGAGCATCCCACAATCCATAGGGAGACTCAGGAGGCTGAAGAGCCTGGTTTTGAGGGACAATTTGTTGAATGGGAGTGTCCCAGATCTGAAGGGCATGTCCCAACTGGAGGAGCTTGATTTGGGTGGAAATTTCCTGGGGCCAAACTTCCCTCCATTGGGCAAAAACCTTTCCAAGATTGTCCTCAGCAACAACTCGATAAGATCCCCAGTCCCAGAACGAATGCTGAAGAAGATGAACAGTTTGCGAATTCTCGACCTTTATTCGAACCACTTCGTGGGCCCCGTTCCTCCGTCGCTCTTCTCGTTGCCAGCATTGGAGTACGTGAACCTTGCAAGAAACCAGTTGAGCGGGGAGATCCCCGCGACTGTTTCTTGCAGCAGGACCCTCAGGTTCGTGGACATTTCGAACAATTTGCTGGTCGGGGAGCTCCCAGGATGTCTCCTGCAGACTCCCCAGGCAGTTTCTGCAGAGGCTGATCATGGCCTGACTGTGATCAGCCTCTGGAACTGCCTGGGGAACGGGAGCTCCAAGTATCAGCACAAGCTCTCGTTCTGCGCGAAGCAGGCGATTGCGGTGGATCCGAAGAAGAAGAAGGGGAAGATGGGAGAACCGGCGACGGTGAAGCTTGGGGTGGTCGTCGGCGTGATTGCCGCCGTTGTGGCGGTGGTTAGCGGCGTTGGGTTGTTGGGAATTGGCGTTTACAAGAAAGTGAGGGGAAGAAAAAGAGATGATGATGAACAGTATGATCGCCGGAGCAGCAGCTTCGCCTTTGACGTGAATTCCACTAGGCATTTAGATGGAGGAGGTAACTCTCTCTCTCTCTCTCTCTCTTTATTTTTGAAATCACAACTGATCTCTAGTTAGTTCCATTCAAAGTTTCAAACTAAATTTAAGAAACTAGTAACTGAAATTTAAAATTAAATACTATGTCTCAAATTGGGGGTAGTTCATAGTATGATTAACTTTTCTAATTTTTTTCTGGCGATTTAAAAAAAGTATTTATGTATGATTAATGTAAAATAAAAATATATATCTAAATTTATAACATACCACCTCAAATTCGACAAGGATGGATTTTTTTAAATCCAGAATTAGAATTTTTTACATATTTATATGAGTGATTATTTAATTGAGTGACTTTTTAACACTCTAATTCTTCCAACATTTTCTAATTTCTTCCAGTTTTTTTTCATCACTTCTTTCAGTTTCTTTCAACTCCTTTTAGTTATTTCTAGTATCCAATTCTGAAATTACAATCCAAAAAACAGGGCCTTAAAACATAAAAATATTAGAGATCTTATTTCAACAAAATTTTCATTTTTTAGTCTTACGGAGTATATATTTAGGCAGCTTTCTTGTATAAATAATGTATTTTCTTCGTGTCATAAAATTTTTCTTTTTTTGGCACTACTAATAATTCCAAATCCACATATTTTTCCTAATGTACAATAACAAATTTGAGTTTTTGATTAAGTCAGCATGGTGTGTGGACTAGTCTTAGGGGCATATGACAAGATTTCTTGAACGTTTAGCCTGTTTGAATTATTGGTTAGGGAATTCGAGAAGGCCGATGAGGATGGTGTCCATGGGGCTGCCACCTTACAATGTGTTCACCCCGGAGGAAATGGAGGAGGCAACCAACCATTTTGATCCATCCAATCTTGTTGGTGTTGGATCATCTCAACAGGTACTTGTCCCATACTTTAGACAGTAGTCTGAAAGGAAGTTAATAAAGTTTTAATCTTAGACTGGTCAATAAGAAGAGAAAAATATGATAGGGTCAAACTTTATTCACTTTGTTGGCCTATTTTCGTTGCTTATTTGATAAAATAGTATAGTCGTGGCACTTCTAATTTTGTAGATCTTTTAATGTAGTTTTAAATATATAATTTTATTTTTAAATTCTACATCATTTTTCATGTACAATGATTTGAAAATAACTTTAGTATAACATCGTAACACGCAACGAGAAGATAATTAAGAAAAAAAGAGAGATAGGAAAAAACAATAAAAGAAGATAGGGTATGAGTGCCATTCATTTTCATTTCAATTGATTCAGCCAATACTATGTGAAATAATCCAGTAGTGTGTGTGGGGGCAGAAACCAGTCATTTTCCATACTGTCATGGGCACACACATCACTGCAATAAATTCTACCACTACCATTAGGATTGAGTCTTTTCCATGTCAAGTAGTAGTTGGGGAATTCATTATGGTATGGTTTTTCTTTTTTCTTTTTTCTCAAAAAAAAAAAAAAAACTGCAGGTGTATAGAGGAAAGCTTAAAGATGGATCAGTGGTCCTAGTCAACTGCCAGACAATATTAATAAAGCAGCAGCAGCAGCAGAAGCATTATTATTCACTTGAACAACACATCGATGCAATGTCAAGGCTGAGGCATAGGCATTTGATGAGTGTGATTGGACACTCCATTGCTGCCCCTTCCCAAGACCCCCACTCCCCCACCACTCTCTTCCTCGTCCTCGAAGCCGTCCCCGGTGNAAAAAAAAAAAAAAAACTGCAGGTGTATAGAGGAAAGCTTAAAGATGGATCAGTGGTCCTAGTCAACTGCCAGACAATATTAATAAAGCAGCAGCAGCAGCAGAAGCATTATTATTCACTTGAACAACACATCGATGCAATGTCAAGGCTGAGGCATAGGCATTTGATGAGTGTGATTGGACACTCCATTGCTGCCCCTTCCCAAGACCCCCACTCCCCCACCACTCTCTTCCTCGTCCTCGAAGCCGTCCCCGGTGGTTCCCTCAAGGACCACCTCGCCGGTAAAACTTTCTCCCAAAAATTCACGTAAAAAAAACACCACTGAAAGTCTCTGAAGATTTTACCTGAAATACTCTCGAAAAAAAGAGTTTTACTTTACGACAAAGATCTTTTGACCTTGCCCAAAAGTGGCCTTAAATGACCTTGGCATTTTGGGGGCATCTACGGTGCTCTGTTGGTGAAATTGTTAGTTCCTACCCCCTAAACCCCACTAAACTCTCCCTCCACCCCTTAGATCACCGATTTGGCCGTCAATTTTAAGGGGGACTAGGAACCATCAATTTTACCTACATAGCATTGTAGAGGCCTCATGTTCATTCTAAGGTCAAAAAACCCCAGGTCAAAAGAACCATTTTGTTTACTTTAACGCTACGAAAATTATAATCGTTATATTTATAACGATTACAGGGTCATACTTTTAGGATCATACTAAACCTTAAACAGGGTTGATCTTTTTTCCCTTTTTTGGAGTAATTTTTGTTTACTTTTATACTTGGGTGGGAATGTATAAACAGATTGGAGGAAGAGGGATGTTTTGAAATGGCCACAGAGAATGGGAATGGCAATGGGGATTGCAAAAGGAATACAGTATTTACATGCAGGAGGGGTTACTGGCAATCACATCAAACTTGAGAATGTGTTGTTGGATGACACTCTCACTCCTAGACTTTTCAACTACAACATTTCCCTCCCATCCAAGGTTTTATATATATATATATATATATATATATATATATATATATATATATATATATTAAAAATCAGGAAAATATATAAGTACTCAAACCTAAAATATACTCCTAAAAAACTTCATTCTTTTTTTTACTACATACACAGATTGTTTCTGAAAGCCCTCCTAATGCACAAGATCAGAATATCAGGTATTTTCAGCAACTCAAGGGTTATTTCTTCTCCTAAATTTAATACTCAGATAAGCCTAAATTTTACTCATAAGAAAAAACCTGCAAATACAGTGCAAGAGTTGGAGAAAAAGATGACATATATCAACTAGGAGTGATTCTGATTGAAGTAATTATTGGTAGACCAATCACATCGCAAGCTGAAGTGCAAGACCTCAAACTACAGGTAAACAACTTTACTCTAAAAACAGAGAGACTGTTTCCGTTCCGACGTTTCTATTTAATGTTCTGATGTGGGACCCTAACATAAACAGATAGAGACTTGCTTAGCAGAATCGCCGGGAAAACTACGCGATCTAACAGACCCTTGCATAAGAGGGACATTCGCGTACGAATCGCTCAAAACGACCGTCCAGATCGCATTGAACTGTCTCAGTGAAGAACGGAGCAAGTGCCCGTCCATTGAGGATGTTCTTTGGCACCTTCAGTACTCATTTCAGGTTCAAGAAGGATGGGGTAGCAGTGGAAACCTCAGTGGAAACCTAAGTGGGAACCTCGTTAAGAAGCTAAGTGGAAACCTTGGAGCTAAACTTTATTAGCCATTTTCAGAGAAAATCGTGTTAGGGGCACTCCACCTTTCGTCTCACTTTCTCACAAACTTCTACAAACACTGAGCAGTATTGGTGTCTATAGATGTTTGTGAAAAGATTGGGCTATAGGTGGGGTGCCCCTAGCATATGATTCTTTCAGACATTTTGGGTATGGTTTTGTTTATTACAATTCAGTAGCTAGCCGAATAATATGTGTTGCAACACATCATATGTTTCAGGCTATTATCAATCAATTCTTTTGAGATTTTCTGAGATTCAATGACTGGTGTTCTTTCATTTTTTTTTTGTAAACAAATACTGTATGTATTTACACTCTACTTATGTCAATTATTTTGAAGGTGATAAGCATCAAACTGTTTTGATGCTTTAATCAGAAGGCTTTGTGTTTCAATCTCATAAATCGCATTTTCTTTATTGTTCTCAAAACATGGAAAAGAGCTGTTTGGTTTTCCTCTTGAGATAGTCCAAGTGAAGTGATTCGAATGACAATGAGAAGTAAAATGAGCTACATCTCTCATGAAGAGGTTGAAACCAGAAAAACAAAATTAAGAAGAAAACCAGTATAATATAAAGTATACCCACTCTTAAATTCTAGAGACACAATGCCATGGCTATTAAGTTCAAAAAGATAGACCACGGAAAGCGCCACATCCAGAAAATACAGCATGACCAAAAAAGAGAGATTAATGATAAAGAGTTTGTCCAACACCGAATGAGAATGTACCGTTTATAAACTATCTTTGCCATTCAAAAGAAGCATCTGATTTGGGATTAGCACTATTTACACGGCTTGCCTCTTCTGGAACGAACGAGCCTAAGCAGGTGTGCCAACCTAAGAGGTATGGCAAAATGAACTGCAGAAGAACACACGAGAAACATTTAAAAGTAGCCAATCCGTGATTAGGGATTCTAAGAGAGCTATGAAAGATGGATCTTACATTGAAAGCCGAGACAAGAACTGTGAATTCAGCCCTTGTGACGGGTATGTAGATGCTCTCATCAGTATTATTAAGCTTGTTTTGCACGCCTTCAATTCAGGAAGAGGAAAACAAAGCCATTTCAGATTCTTAGCAATGTCAAAGTAATTCCAAAAAATATATATATATTTCTTCCATCCCTAAATGGAATAGAAACTTTTTTAGATAGTTAAAAAAAAAAGGAAAGCAAGTTCTTTTAGGGACAGAGGGAGTATCTATTGAGGAAGTAAGAATTACTGAGGTTGAAGAAGTGGCCAGATCCATCAGGTAGGGGTTCAATCTTCAACAGTTTCCTGACTTTTCCTTCGTCGCTGCAAAAATAACCAAACACACATGCGAAACATTTTTTATACAATAAAAAATACAATCGTAAATGTTTGTAAATTCCCGAAGTTTCACTCATCATACCTTCTTCCTTTGTTAGGGTCATGAAAAAAATCGCACGACTCTTTTGGCCCAAGACTAATCAATGACCCTAACTCGGTAACTGACAATGAGAACAGCTGGACACCCATAAAAAAGAAACATAATTCCAAACCAAGTCAGAAATAGTAAATTCTTTAGTCCAACAAAATTGTACAGTATGTACTATAAATATGTGTGTAAATCGTGAATTAAGAAACAAATATAGATTGTGCGGCGATCACCTGCTTTTTTCCCCAATCGTATTGACGAACGCCAGATGCAGGAGCAAACTGAAGTGACACAAAACCATCTTTTGACAGTTTGAATGCCCCTGACTGCCCAATTATAACCATCAACTATACAGAACAACAACAACAAGAAGAATATCCTGCCCATTAAAACCCCACACGTGGGGTTTGGGGGCTGAGCGTACACAAAGATACAACATACACTGAAAAAAAGCATAGCATGAGGAAAAAAAGCAATTACTAAGGAGAATCATTCACGAATGCATACGTCCAACCGTGAGTACTCTGGAGGTTGAGGTGACACACTAAGAGCAGCCTTCCCTTTATAAATTGAGTATCCAACAAAAACCTTAGGCGGTAATCTTCCTGCTAAGGTTAAAGGATAATTCACTGTTTGTATTTCTCTTTAACCAATGAAAGAATACAATCAACAACAACAACATTACCCCATTGCCTCAAAGGCTCCCGCCCATTGCGGGGTAAGGGGGGTCGGATGTACGCAGCCTAACTGCTATGTTAAAATATAGAGCGGCTGTTTCCATATGACCCATGATCAGCGTTGAACGTTGCATTGACTAGCTATTACTCCACTATCAAAAGAATTACAGATAGTGTAAGAACAATTTTGCTTTATTCCATCTTCCTCCAAAGTTAAATAATAGTGAATATTTGGCTCCATTGGAGAAGATGGAAGTACATGTCAAAATGCCCTTTAAGAAAGAAAAAACTTCTCATCCCAATCAAGTTAAAACTTTTAATTCCTAATCTCATTCGAGAAGGTATAAGAAAAGATCAATCCGGTTCACTTTTGGAAATGCAAATTACATGAAATTATAAAAATCCTTAAGCAATTCTTTCAAATTTCTCCTAAACCGCTAGCTCATATATCATAATTCATTCACCTCACATTTTTTCCTTATCAATTGGGTGCCCATGACTGATCATATGATCATTTCAAAATCTATGACCACGTTGGTATTTTTTCCTTCTTTTTAATGCACTTTTTTCACAGCCCTAGTATAAATACAGAATAAATAGATAAAGCCATCAAAAAAATACACTGTCAAAACCCTCGAATTCAGCCCAACATCAAATATTGTTCATTCTAGCCAGGGCCGGTGATCCAAGTGCGCACCCACACATGACCCTCTAATTTTGTAAGGCAGAGTATTGCATTATAAAAGATAATCTCGAAACTAAATTTGAGATGGAAGAAGTATTGTTTAAGTTGAAAACTAAAAAAAAAAAGGAACAGCAAATACAAAATTAAAAAAAAAAAATTATTCCAGATACCTGGTTGTACAGAAGAGGAAGGGGAATTAGAGAAAGAAATCCATTGTTGTTGTTCAGGGAGCTCGGAGTGGCAGCAGACCAAGGAAAGCTTTCTCTTCTGCAATGGCTTATGGGTGGCGGAGGTAGGAGACGATTTAGGGTTTGATTTGAGAAGTGTTGAAATGGAGGAGCGAGAAAGAGATTGGAAATGGTGAGAGCACAGTGGGTTTTGACTGTGAACTCCTCCCGCCGGGGAAGATAGACAAGGGCTTAACATGATGACTGTCAATGGCTGAGTTTCAGACCGGTTCTGATTTTGGGTTGAATCGGAAGAGAAAGGTTGGGGCCTATTTTGGCAACCAGCCTGATGGGTCAACTTCGGTTCGGGTGGTAGTTTATCCAAACTCAACTCGAAAACATGTTCTTTCTAATCCAATTTTATTAAGGTCATGTCTGGATTTATAGTTGTTTCTAATCTAATTTTTTATACTTCTTTCATTTTAATCCATTTTTTTTTTTACGAGGTTTGATTGCCTTTATTATAATTCAATTTATTTAATTATATGTGTAAAATTAAAAAATACGAATAAAATTTATATATTTTAAAATTATATCAGAAGTTCTACAAAACAAAAGATAAAAATATTATATTGTTTTATCGAATAACTAACAAAAATAAGTAAAGAATGTGATTAAAGTTTAACTGCGTAAATAGTAACTAGAAAATATTTTAGGTTGAGAGAGTGATTTTAATAATAATCACTAATATTGGTAGGTAATCTTCTACGGAGTAATATACAAAGGTAGAGGGAAAAGATGAATAGTACATTTTCCCGTCCAGCCTAATTGGATACGGTCTCGGGTATGGTCTAAGCTAATTAGATATGGTTGACTAAACATGCTACTTTATGGGAAAGAGTGAGATTATGAGAGATGATGACTTTGTACTAGAGAACTTGGAATGGCGGCTTGGGCATATGAATTTATTAAATTCTCATTTTTCATTTTTTTAATTTCTAAAATTTAAATCTATTTTTAAATTTTTTTAGAAAAATAATACCAAATTTAATTGTTTTTTAGAGTGAAACTTATTAATTTTTCCAATAATCAATTATATGATAATAATTAAAAAAATAAATTATTCTACACAATAGAGCTAATTTATTTATTTCATAACTCACTTTGGGACGTAGAATTTTTCAAAACGTGATTAAATAGTCTCCAGAGTAGTTTAAATAAAACGTTGCAGAAACTAAACAAGATTCAATGGAAGGTGGAGTGTTACATTTATACTGAGAGATGGAGTAGTTATGGAGAGAGAGATAATTATGGTAAGGAATTATTAGTGGAGGTGGTTATGGTAGGGAGTTGATGGTGGAAGTAATTTGTGATGCTAATATTAATTGGAAAATTTGGATTGAGATGTCCGGGCGAGATAATATTTCCCATCAATAGTTATATCACCACTAATTTTCTAGTCTTTTTGATGTAGTTTTATAATGTGTGATTTTTTTATTTTTAAATTCTACATTATTTTTCATATAAAAGGATTTGAAAATAATTTCAATCAAATATTATAAACCGAAATAGAGACTGAGAGAGTATTTGTATTTGCTATTGGTGTGCACTGTGGAAAGTGGAATTCCCAAAAGCTTTATTCTTCTCTCACATGGACCCTTGAAAACATTCAAAAAATTGTTTTCTTAAAAAATTGTTCCTATTCTTTTCTAGAGATATTCCGGATTTGAATAGTATATTTTGTTCGTCCGGTCTTGGTGAAAATTGTCACTTCTTGGATTCATTTGGTACGTTTTCGTAGTGGGGAGAATATAGGTCCTAAATCTTGTCAATAATTACTTATTCTATTCCTATAATTATGTTCCACTTTAATATTTATATACAGCTAAATATTATCTTTTTTTAATACTCTTTATTTAATTAAATTAGGTTTTATTTGAGAACAAAAACTTTAATGTGTTAGCGTTTTAAATAATATTTTAGTAGTGTAGATCGATTCTCAAATGCTATAAGTAAACATTTCTGTTAGATAGTTGTTTCAAAATACTGAAGTTATCGTCATATCTTATTTTGTATACATAATTTTAAAAAAAAAATCTACTCCGATAAGAATTAAATACGACCAAAATAACAAAATAAGAATGCCAATAATTTTACATCTTACGTAGTATATAGGAGTTTAACAGTGCAATAATATACAACAATGTGAGTGATGATAATATGATAGAGGCAATGTGGTGGTGGACCACCGGTCAACAGTGGTCAACACCAGTGACAAACGATGGCCCTCCAGCGAACCATGGTGGAGGCACTCTGACAACGACGACCGGTAATGGCAATCTATGAGGGGTACCAGTGTGGCAATCTCATACTTTGATTATTTCATTAGGTTTTTCACAATGTGCAATGTCTAAGCCCCGTTTGGTAACAGCATTAAAGGTTAAAATTAGTGTTTTGAAAAAATTATCTAACGATAACATTCAGTAGTAGCATTTTCAAAGTTGATCCACGCCATTAAAAGTTTATCCAAAAAATGCTAATACCAATAAAAGAACATTATTCCCAAACATGGCCTTACTTCATTTCACTATAACCCGGCAACAAAAGTGGTGTCAAAGCATGCAGAAGAGAGTTACAGGCACATCAGAGAACACCAAAGTTGAAAGCATTTGAAATGTGAGCAGAGAGTGTGAGAGAGGGCATGTATAAACACAAATGAATATTTACTCCATAGCCATATCTGCTCTGTTTCAAATTACATTCTTTTTTCCAAGCAAGAGGCCGGGGCTTCAACCCGCAACATAAAATAAAAACCTGTCTTTTTTTCCCCCTCCGTTTGCTCGTGTCCGTGGACAATTGGGGCCAAGAGATCATACTATGCTTTGGCATTTGGTTTTGGCGAATGCAGGGAAAACTGGCGATATGGTGAGGGGTGGGAGCCATTTGGTATTGAGAGGCTCCTCTGGTTTTGCTGTCCAGTCTTTGAGAACACATTCTGTTGCGCTGCCCTATTGACACTTTTCGCGTTTGGGCTGGAAGCCACGGTGCGATCGGAAGCTTGCATGGTCTGGAAATAGTAAGAGGAGCTGGCCATGTCTTTCAGGTTCGGTAAGGGCTTCAAGGATTCAACCACTTCGCTCATCATGGGTCTGGCTTTTGGGTCCCTACTGAGACACCTTGCAGCCAGTTGCGCGGCTTTTTGGGCACCTTTTATGGAGAAATGCCCTTCAAGTCTAGGGTCTATCAGCCGATAAAACCTCTTCTTCTCACACAGATGTGGCCGTGCCCATTCGACGAGGTTATGTTCCCCGTTAGGCCTGTTTTTGTCCATTGATCGTCTCCCTGTAATCATTTCGAGAAGAACTACCCCAAAACTGTAGACGTCGCTCTTTGATGTCAAATGTCCTAAGGGTGTCCCAAATGGAGGGGAGAAAAAACAAAAGAGAACCGTTCAATTAGGATAACACACAAGTACATAAAAGACTAGTGCAGTACTTGTTCACAATGGTAAAAAAATGTGTTTTTACATCTAAATTTACTACTTCCTACATCCTTAATTAACTTCCTAGTCACTATTACGACGTGTTCATAACTTTTGTTTATACGTGTGTTTTCATTGATCATTTGATAAAATAAAATATGCTTGTCAATTTGCAAATAAAATTATTTTAAACATGAAACTTGAACTTTAGATTTTTGTATCAATTTGCAAATAAAATTATTTTAAAAGAGATGAGTTCTACACGTTGTTTGAAATAGGAAGTTTATTTGGGGGCGAGGAAGTTAATGCTTTACCAAGAAACTGATTTTGATTTTTGGTGAGATACAACCCTTATAAGACATAAATCCTACTTTTAATTTTTCATTTCTCAAGTAAAAATATGAAAATAAAAGAAAAATGATTGCAATACATGACATTGAAGATTTTCTCTCAGTTCACGTGGTTGACTACATTGAATTGGGATTAAGGCTTGGGTGTTGTTGTATAACTATAGTTGTCATATTTAATTTGTTCGACTCTTTTATGGAAAATTACATGATATAATTAAATTGACTCTTTGAAATAGCCTTTCTACTTCCAAGTAGGGGTAAGGTCGGCATACACAAACCCCTCCCCGGACCCTTCTTTTCGTGAGATTTTACTGCATTTTTTTTATTTTTATCGCCATGCAGATCATCGTGAGCAGTTGGGAAATTATAAATGCCATTAACTTTCTTTGCCCTTCACATAGCATGGAATGAGGTTTGAATAAGCTTTACTGGCCCGTTATAATGCAAGTCAATGTTTTTATTTTACGATATGTTTATAAATACCTTTAGGAACTACAGGCAGATCAGTTTCATCACCTTTGGCTTCTCCAAACAAATATATTTTTAATTGTTTAACTGTTCCGCGTGTTTTATTTCTTTGATTGCTTTGCAGTAGGCCCTAATTTACATGTTTCTTTTATGCTTAACCTTCTCAGTTATGATTTATGAAAGTGGAGTTTGTGTTAACCTTCTCAGTTCTCACTCATTTTATACCCTTCACTTTCATCCTTTGTAAAATGGGAGGGGTAGATTCAGCTTTTCACACTCATTTCTGACCAAATACGGAATACATGGAAAGGAGAAGCTTATTGTTTGACAGACCAAACGAAAACAAGTAAGTTTTCCTATGGTCAAAGAGTATTAAAGAGGGAGAGATCCACTGTATAGATTTTCCATCAGAGATACATAAAACTTACCTGTCATCACGTACTCCGGCGCTGCATACCCATAGGTTCCCATAACACGAGTGGAGACATGCGTCTTATCCCCCTCTGGGCCATCTTTCGCGAGTCCAAAATCAGATAGTTTGGCATTGTAATCCTGTAAGAATTCTTAATCAGAAGAACTCATATCTATCCCATGTGTGTGTACATGTTTATACTTCTTCCGTCCCAAAAAACTTTACCAAGCACCTACTTTCCCTTTTTGGATGTTCCAAAAAACACTTCGATGTTTTTGTGTATTCTTTTAGCAATGAAAATAAGGCCCACAAGATTTCTCTCATGAAAACAAATTCTAACCATCATTTTCATTTTTCAACCTTATATTAAACTCCTTGAAAATCAAAATGAGTAAAAAGAGAAAATTTGGACAGGTGGAGTATATAAATGTTAATAAGATTCCCAAAGAATAGCACATACAGCATCTAATAGGATGTTGGATGTTTTGAAATCACGGTATATGACAGGCCTTTGTGCTTCCTCATGGAGAAAAGTGAGCCCTTTGGCAGCACCTAGAGCAATTTTCATTCTGACAGACCATGGAAGGGGTAGGGACCCTACATACATGAACCACATGAACTTTATAGTTATTGCCCATTGTTTGTTATACGGACATTCTCAGGAATATTGCCAACTTCTTGTAATTAAATGGATAGACTAACGAGAAAAATATCTTGAACGAATATAAAAATCACGAATAAATTTGAAAAGGAAAACAAGTTCAAGGCAAGCCGCTCACTCCTGAATAGGTGGTTTTCCAAGCTTCCTCTCGGCATGAATTCATAAACTAGAAGCCTCTGGTCATCTTCAATGCAGTAACCGACCAGTTTCACCAAATTTGCATGAATAAGGTCGCCAAGAAAATTCACTTCAGCCTGCCAAATGAACCAATGAAGTGTGAGGATACCATAAATATGTATAATATATGTCAATGATAAATCACTTTTTATAATGAAAAACTAACCAGCCACTCTTTGTGACCCTGAAGCCCATCATGATTTAAAGTCTTCACAGCTACAGTAAGTCCTGTCCCTGGTTTGACCGGTGCTGTTCCATTTTCCTCAATCCACCCCTTGAACACACAGCCAAAGCCTCCTTCCCCAAGAAGGGACTCTGGTCTAAAGTTTCTTGTGGCCAACTTCAGGTCATTAAACGTGAACTTCCTAAGCCGGGAAGATATTTTGAGCTCCTCTTCTAGTTTGGCGGTAGATGAACTGCTTTCTGCAACACTTGTAGCACTGGAAGAAATTATTGGAGCAGCAGGCTGTTCTACACTTGTTCCCACACTCGTATCATTCGCGCATTTACTTTCTGTCACCAAAAACAATCATAAAACAGCTGAGAAAATAGAGATGAGCCGGCCGGAAAGGACAATACAAAAAATGATTCAGTCCTGAGAAGCCACCTACAGATCAACAAACTCCTTGATTGATTTTTAAGATTAAAGGATTGTCAAAATGTCAGAAAATTGAAAACAGTCAACCTCCACTCCCCAATAAACCGCATATAACATTCAGAATAAAAAAGGGACATGCAGTATGATTCTGGAGCTGAAAACTTTGAAACAGGTTCGACGGGATCAGAATAGATGAGCATAGAGCTTTCAAAAGCTAGTAGAAAACAATAGCTTGAAATTCTTTGGTCTATCCTTAGGATTCTCTCTTTGGCACTTCAAAGGAAGGATAACCGGAATTGAGCCTAAGAGCTAAGACCTCAGTCTCTCACCAATAGTACTACACAAAAATGCCTGGAAAAGATCCTTCTTGCCCCAATTAGAACAGATCTACCTTTCCTTTCATCTCTACTTATCAACATATTATTTCTAACAGAACTGACCACTTTGAATACAGCCACCAGTTTAAAACCAAAATAGCAATTGGTCTTATTCTAAATACATGAAAGAAAAAAATACACACAGAAAATGCTCCAAGATAAGACTTCTACAAGCACACACAAAAAAAATATTGGATCTTTGTTTTGAAAATAAAAAAAATTAGCATACAACAAGACATGAAATTATACCGCAGTTAGTACTGATGCCACTGATGGAGGTATCAACCTTAGATCTTGAACTTGAAGAAATGCAACAAGCAAAGAACCTGAACTTAATCCAACACGAACTCAGCTCTCCAGAATCTGACTCTCTGTCACTCTTCGATTTCTCCAAATCCCAAGCCTTCACCCTCTCCACCTTTGCATCATCACCCCTCAATCCCATCTTCAAATAACCCTAAAATCAAACTCAGATATCATCAAAGCCCTCCGAAATCCCAACTCTACCCATCCGCCCCCAGTACAACTTCTCTAGTAAATCCCACTCTCCCCCCAAAATCAGGCCAAGAACTGCAAATCCCACATTCCAAAATCCCTAAAAAGAAAAACCCTCGCTCCAGTTTCCCCTGAATCGAAGAAAAAATCCCTTCTTTGAGAGAAACAGCTCAGACCCAGACCTAGAAATGAAGGGTCCGGTGGATTCAGAGGGGATGACTGTTTGACCGTCCAAGCTCTGAGAAGTGAGGAGAGAAGAGAGGAAGAAAGAGAGCACAGGACATGATGGAAACAGTGAGGGAGAGGAGGAAGAGGAAAGCTGGTTTGGTTTGGTACTTTTTGGTATCCCCCACATCAAAAGTGCCCCCAGAAAGAAAAATGTCTGTTTCCCCTAAAGATATCGAAATCTCAACAAAAGACTCAAAAATAATACTCTGCTGACCGCTTCTAAAGCTCCTCCCCCCACACATAACATAAAAATATTTTTAAAATTTAAACAGGATATTCTCCTTTTATTTCATGTCAATTCACATGCTTTAGTTGATTTTAAAATACTCTTGATTTTACACAATTTAAAAAAATGTTATTTCTTCCGTTTGAATTTAATATTTTTCATTTAACTTTTTATTTTTTCTAATTTCTGATTCTACACATTGATCATTAATATCAATACTTATGCAAAGATATACGGAGTACATTTTATGAAAAATTCTCACAAATTCTCATAAAACTTCACAGTTTTATAAAAATACTCTCAAATTCGTTAATTTACGTCATTACTCTCAAAACTATCTCATATTCATATCGTTACTTCTGCGCTGCTTAGCAATCACACTTGCTACCTACGTGACTCTATTAATGCTAAGTGGATAATTTAATAGAAATTATCCCAAATAGGACTAAAACATAGAGAAAAGTATCAAAATAGGACTTTCATGTTTTTTTCCCGGAATAGGACTTTGCATTGTGGTAATGTGACTTTGCATTGTTGTAATGTGGCAGTGTACATGTGCAAATTACTAAACTTTTTTGATAATGTATATGACCATGTTTGGTAATGTAAGTCCTATTTCGGGATAAAAACATGGAAGTCCTATTTTGGTATATTTTCAATGTTTTAGTCCTACTTTGGTCTTTCTCCCATAATTTAAGGGTGCCAACGTCTAAGGATGCATTTTCTTCGTCTAAACTTTTTTGTTTGAATCTGATTTTTTTTACGGTTGATGTTTTGAGTGATTAAATCTGAATGAATTTGATATGATCTAAATGGATTTGATTCATTTAATTGTAGTCTACTTAAAAGATGTTGATGATCTGATCTGCTTAAATTATTCACTCAACATTAAAAGAACAACACAAAATATGAGACAATTCTAGAAGTAATGACGTAAAATTAATGAATTTGAAGTATTTATGTAAAATCATGAATTTTTAGGATTATTCGTATGAATTTTTCCTACATTTTATAAAAAATATATTAATATTTCAAAACTACATTTTAAAAACAAACTATTTATATTACATTTATATCTAAATAAAATATATTTTTTTTCTATCAACATCGAAGTTTACAAACTTTAACCAAAAAAACATTAAATGAAAACACTACATTGAAATAAAAAAGATTGAAACCATCAATAAGAAATACAAAATACTCCATCCGTCCGGAAGTATTCTTCTCATTTGACTTTTCTTGGTCAAAGCTTGTAAACTTTAACTATGATATGTGAAAAAAATATATTGTATTAGGATATAACTTTAATATGAATATATTCATTTTGAAATATAGTTTTCAAATATCAAAATTTTATAAAATATATCCATGTATAAATAAAGATATTAGTGGTCGAAGTGCAATTTTGGAGACCGTAAAATTTAAATGGGAAAAACATTTCCGAACGGAGAGAGTATGTAAAATTTATTTGGAGACAAATGAGTTCAGTAAAAAGTATGTTCAAAGAAACAAAAAAAATCATACTACTCCCTACATCTCATAAAGAGTGTTGCATTAATGATAATTTAATAGGGGCGGTTACTTGGAGAAAAATGAAAGGAGAGGGGAAATCAACTTTTCAAATTTACTCTCTAAAAAAAAGTGAATATCGATCCTTGTAAATGTAAAGACTAGTTTGATATGAATAATGCTAGTCATAAACAATTAAGAGACAAATTTCACAAACTTATTATTTGTGTATTTAAATTTTTAATTTTAAATTATTTAAAATTATTTTATTCACTTGGAAAAGTGTACAAAAAATAAGTTTGTATATTGTGTACAATTTATTTGTGACTCTAACATTACTCGTTTGATATAGGGATTCCCCCATTATATTTCTTCAATTTGGTGAAGTGGAATAGTAGATTGCACTCTTAAAGTTCTTGAAATTTTAATTTACAGAGTTTTAAAAGGTTAAAAAACAAACATGTGTGATAAAATTTTCTTTAGAAAGGAGAGAGTTGTTTGTAACCAGATATTAATTACATTACCAAAATAAGAAATAAAGTGTTGGGTTATGAAGCCAGGGAGCCTAGGAGACTAGGTCAAAGAATATCGAAATATACACAACTTTATGCATAAACGTACACCTCAATTAATAAAAAACACATCATTCTCATTTATCACCTTAAAAGTCATTCTCACCTGTGCAGCTCCGGGGAGGGTCATTTTTTGGTGGAAGAGAAGGAAAAGAGCTATTTCGACCCCAAAAAAAGGAAAGAGAAGAAAAGATAACATATGCTCGTAATAATGAATGAATGAATGGAAGGTATTAAAAAAGGATATTCACATTGCACTAGTATTAGAACTATGGGGTCAAAACAATAGCTTTGCTTCAAGAGAGCCTGAACTGGAATGACACAGGGATCATAATACTCCATGTGTGTGTGTGTGTGTGTGTGAGAGAGAGAGAGAGAGAGACTTGAAGTAAACCAGCAGGAGGGAGGTATCATCGTGTCCCGGAAGGAATGCTTGAAGTTGCATATATCTTGAGAGAGTGATCGGGAATGTATGTGATGCCTGCCATCCCAGAAATGTAACTATTAACATGACATATACTCCTTACGTCCAGATTTAGTTGCCCGCTTTCCAAAAACATCTCTTTTTCAAAGAAAGAGCTTAAAATGTCAAATAAGTCCTTTAAATTAGTTTGTCATTCATTGATGTCAGGAATGTTAACATGCTATCTAGAGGGTATTTTAGATAATCCATCGTAATTTGTTTTCTAAATATGAGAAGTGGAAAACTAAGTCCGGACACAGAAAAACGGGAAAGCCGACAACTAAATCTGACAGTTTAAATTTTGAGGTAGAGTTCATCCTTGTAGACCATGGGTAGAGCACACCCCGGGCACCATGGTCTCCCCTGAATTTCATCTTCTTGACATTTGAAAAAGTGAGGGATTTTTTATACAGAGAAATTTGGAGAAAATGGAGTCTGAATTGTCGTCTCTCTAATGTTCATTTTCTTCAGGATAGTAAATGCTTTTTCATTAAAACATCGTTTGCTTCTTTCTACGAAGATTTGAGTTGTAAATGCAGCAATACATCATGGTCTAAGTGTCTAGCTGAAACTGTCTTTGACTTTTAAAGGGGTATTCACTACACCTTGACAACCAAATCCCAATGGTTTTAAGATTGTGGTAGTGGATGCCTTTTCACTCATATGCTATTGAGATTTCATACCCGGAGTAATTTTCAAGAGACTTACTTTATCGGTTTCAATTTAAATATTAGAGAGCCAATGTGTACCTTTCTCTGTTACCTCAATTTGCAAGGAATCAAGTGTGATTATGCCATCTGTCAGGGGAAGAACCTCAAGTTTGACAGTAGCCGTCGATTGAGAAGGAACACATCTGATGGCACAAGTTTTTGTAAGGAAATAAGATGCATGGGGGG